TTTTAACGTCAAAAAACGACATTATTACGTCAATATTTTTGCACCAACCCAATACTTTTGCAATTGTTGGGGGTAGTGTTCCTGATACCAAAACAAGGACGAAAGTCCATAGAAATATCTCTCCGAGATCTTTCGTTTTTAGCTATTAATTTAAAGTTTAAGATAGATGCAGTTAAATTCACAATCCAAGATACAATCCGATCCGCCCGCAAATGTTGGTTGTGTAAATTTGCTCTTCCCTCACTTCCAAAAGTTTTCCCCACATTTCATTTTTGTTTAAGTTTTTATCACTTTGTGTTATCAAATAAACGACATTGTGATAATAGAAGTTTTACCCGTCCCCCACAAAAAAAGGCGGAATTTTTTTCACAATCTTGAACGGCGACATAATGTAGTTGATTTAGCGATGAAAGCGCTTATATTAACTGTCTTACACTAAATTCGATTTACATAGTTACCACCTACCAATTGTTTTTATAAAGTATATATATTTACACTTTCAGGATAATATTGTTTCTTTCTTTTTTTTTGTTTAAATTGACTGAATTGACTGGAAACAAAACATTTTTATTGATATGAAGTGTGGATCATTAATTTCATTTCATCATTCAACAAAAAATAGACTTTTTCTGTTTTAATCTATTTTCTTACGTCATTTTTATGGATACAAATATTTAAGAAAATGCTCTGTTTATAATAAACAGTATTAACTACATTTACCGTCCTTCTCTTTCTACTCATATATATATATATATATATATATATATATATATATATATATATATATATATAGAGAGAGAGAGAGAGAGAGAGATAGATATAGATATATATATATATATATATACTTAATAGAAATCTTCAAGTATAAGAGACTATACTCACTCGGAAAACCTTCGTTGTATTGATTTGCAAATAAACAAGCTAATACCGAAGGGGAAAAAAGGTATCAAAAAAAAAAAAAAAAAAAGAAAGAGCCAAGAACATGTATGTTAGCCGAAAATAATCGTCCAGCATACGAGTTCAAGGCCCAAAGAAAAAAACCCGATGCGAGTACCCCAAAGAACTAAATAATGTGCTCAATACAATGAGTAGAGTAGACCTAGTTAAACCTAGAGAGCCAGACAAACCTACCAAGGTTTCACCTAAGCGGATCGTGAAGGGCTAGCTTTCCCTGACAGACAAACATATCTAACTAAATTCTTTCTACCTACACACACATATATAGAAGTTTCAACCTAAAATGTACGTTAACAAATGTATTGAAACAAAGAATAGGATACACTTAGTTTGGTATATTCTTGGGAAACTGTTCCTGCATAATGGGTTGACTAAATCGCAGTCGGGCAGAGTCTCTGGATTCAATTTCTTAATCTCTACTATCTTTCCCGTCTTCCGGTACCAACCCACGGTACTTATGTAAATTAGGTGTATCATATATATATATATATATATATATATATATGTGTGTGTGTGTTTGTGTGTGTTTGTTTGTAGATGTGGTTAAATCAAATAACTATATATTCTTTGTATATACGTGCGTTCACGTGCATAAACAGGTAAAATATATATGTTTACTCAAGTTAATTTATGTCGTAATCAAAACAGTGCTCAATGTGGTTTGACAGAGCTAAGAAATATACATTAATGAATATACATATGCCTATGTTTGGGGTACGACTTAAGTTTCTTTGTTTTACCAAGTCCTCAGGCACACAATATTACTTATGATTTTATTAAAAATAATATCCTGGGTCTAATGGGAGGAACGCTAAATTACACGCGATTAACAGCTCAAATTTAAAATAAGTTAAATATAATATTGCGGTTTAAATGCAGAAGTTAGGGTGTAAGTAGGGGCTGTTATAAAAATTTTAAAAATAAAAATTAATTTTAAAGTTTAAAAGAGGAACGCCGGGTTTAGGAACAACTCTTCATATTCTTCTAGGATCCACTGACTTCTAGGATCCACTGACTTCTAGGATCACTGACTTCTAGGATCCACTGGCTTCTAGGATCACTGACTTCTAGGATCACTGACTTCTAGGATCCACTGACTTCTAGGATCACTGACTTCTAGGATCACCAACTCCAAGGTGAACAACTTTCTGTACACTACTATTTCGTTTTTTGCAGGGTTGATTTGGCAAAATGTGGGTTTGGCATCGAGGTTTACTGTGTGGTCTTTTGCTAGAGGTTGCACTCCCAAGAATCAAGCCCGTACCCAAATCCATCAGCCGCAGGCTATCAGACAATTCATCAAACATACTCATATCACAAAAACGCCATATAACAACGCACTAAAGAAAAAGAGATACACGCAACGGCTAGAATACACACCACCACAACCAAAATGGAAAAAAGAGAAAAATAAGTATAATTTGGGTTAACATACCATACAGCAAAACAGACAGAACAAACATCGGCAGAACATTCCTAAATCTAATAGAAAAAACTTCCCCGTAGCAAGCCGCTTATCAAATATATTTAACAAAAACAATATAAACGTTAGCTACAACTGCACAAAGAACATAATACAAACAATAAAAAAAACACAAAAAAATAATAATCTGCAATAGCGCAACCAAAGATCCCCAATGCAACTCCAGACAAAACCACATTCCTACTACAAGGAAACTGGTTATAAATGAACATAGTATACAAAGCTAAGGTAATCGCAAACGCCACCACAATGCACTATATTGGCTCAACAGAATGAACATTCAAGTTATGAAAATACACCCACGACATCTCATTCTCAAACAGAAAATATTCCAACAGCACTACACTACCCAGATTCATCTGACAACTAAAAGAAAAAAAAAAAACACCACACCAAAAATAAACTTGGGAATTATTAAAACCGCACCTGTCGATAATAACATATCAAAGAGATGTCTACTTTGTCTGCCCGAAAAAATGGCAATAATCTCCCACAATCAACAAAAATAATTACTAAACCAAAGATCAGGAATAATTTCAAAATGAGACACGAAAATAAATATCTACTATCTCTGTTCATACCAAACGGATAATACGTAAAACAAAACGGAATACAACTGGGAAATAACCTACCGGAAAAAAAAAATTAGAACACAAGAACACCAAATCCACCAAAACATAACCACCAACAATAACACTACCAGCACTTTTACCAGCACTGTAACATACACTACCATAACCCCTACAAGCACAACCACCACTATAACAATTAATACAGGTGGATAACATTACCAGCACTGTTATATACACTACACCTACTCATACTGGCACAAGCACCACCATAACAATTAGTACAGCCATCACGAAAGATAAAAATATTAACACTTCCAAAGTTTTATTATGTAACGACTACTACTGCTTTCGCTATTATTATTGTTACCACATTATGTACCTACCGAAAATAACTACTAATACTATTTTCAATATCAGTACTGTTGTGTCCACTTTAAGAGCAATCACTTCATAACCATTTCTACCACCATGAGTACTGCTTTTTATTATTGTCATTGTTATTATTATTATTATTGTTACGACAACAATTAT